ATAAAGTATTTAAATATTTAATCTAATTACTATAGTATTAATAATAACTAGCTATTTAAGTATTTTAATAAGTAATATAAAGTAAACTTATATATTTAGTTGTATATTCTAAAGTTAAGTAAAATTGCTTATAATCTTAATTAATTTATTCCTACGTTAATTAAAATTAATATTAATTCCCGTCGACTATTCCCTAATTAGCTACGCAGCCCGACGTTAATCCAGGAGCGCCTACCCTATAGGCCCCTTATCGCAACCATAAGAGCTAGGTCGTGACATACAGTGTAATATATATTACTGCGTAATAAAAGACTGGTGCCTGCGTAATATAAACTATATAACTAATTAAAGATTTAAAATTAATAAATTAGACTTTAGCTTACAGAGAGAACAGGCGAAAATAGTTTTTACTAATTTAAATAATAAAATTAATAAAACTCTATAGGTTATTCTATATAATAATACGTCTAACGTAGTTAGTAATCTTATAAAGATAGGATAGAATTAAATACTATATAAAGGTTTAAGATCTCCATCGTATACTAAGATAGGCGTAGATAACTAAAGTAAGCGTAAAGAGTCCGGTGAATATAATATTTGCAGTTAACGATAGTCAGTAACCGTAAACACTTTTATTAATACTATATAACTTTGCTATATATTAGCAGATGTTACCTTTTTAAAAATAAATAAATAGTATTTACTTCTAAAGTATAATTAGTATTTGGGCTGAAATAAATAAAATAGTCTTATTGTATTATTTTAATAAAAAAGAAATCGGTTAGTACAGAGTAGAAATAAAGGGGAATGAATAATTAGGAAATGGCTAGGTCTATAGAGCAACACGGTTAAGTCTGCTTAAGGGGATGTATTTATACTTACATTGCAAAGTCCAAAGAAGAGACTATTAACGAATTAATTCACCGATGGGCACGAGTTCGCAACATACATCTTATATTCCGCAGTTAACTCTGCCCTAATGATTTGTTACTTCGGCATACCTGACCCTTGTCAGCTAGTAGAGCTGACAGCGCGCTAGCTGGCTTTTCTTAGGGGCAATGATTTTCAGTAAGCAAGCATGATTGGCTGACTCGCAAGAGCTTCCCTTTTCCATTTCTGCTAGGCTTAAGGCTAATCGGTAATTGCCCCTGGCCGATGGCGATCCTTTAGGACAGCCTGACATCAGCATTCTAAACCCAAAACTGTACGTGTTTCCCGAAATAGCCAATCACGTACCACGTCCAGTAGGATACAATACGTCTGGTACAATACACACAGCCATTTGGCACCATCATCCACTCTAAATCCCACTGCATAAGCTGGTTCTGTCTCGTCTGCCGAGGTGCCTATCTCCGGCCGACACTGGAGATAGGTAGGAGGTTCAGCATTAGCAATCAAACAATTACAATATTATAGCTTTATTACTCTGCAATCACATTACTAATTATCTTTCAACATAGGTACGGACGAATAAACTACGGGACCACTTTCTGAGTCGATAACTATAAGTGATGTGCTCTTTTACATTCCATATGTCCAAAATGAGCGATAAACTACGGTGATATAACGACAAGATCGAAGTTACATTTCCTTAAGCACGCATAACATGATCCAAACTATCTCGGGGCAACAGGAGCGGCCAAGCCCGACCAGCACTACGTTTGCCGATTGGGACAGCATCGATAACCCAAACAATCCTAAAAACTTCCCCAAATGGCAGAAATGGATTATGGTCACTATTGTGACGTGTGGCTCACTCTGTGTGTTAGTTACACTGCAACTGTCATCCTTGGCGAGTACTACAGCTAACCGCTTCCGACTAACTTGCAGAACGTGCACATCAGCATTGTATTCATCCACTTACGAACAAATAACCGGTTAATTCCATGTGTCTGAGTTGGTTGCAACTGTGGGTTTATTGCTATTTATCTTTGGCATGGGCTGCGGGCCAATGGTTGTTGCGCCCATCTCGGAAGTATGTGTAGCAATTTCATTAGACGAACCATGGACTCGCAGATGCTTATATACTATAGATATACGGGCGACGGCCAATATATCTGGTTTCAATGGCCCTATTTACCATCTTTCTGATTCCTTGTGCCACAGCGCAGAATATAGGCACAATGCTTGCTGGTCGACTGCTTGGAGGGTTGAGCAGCGCAGCATTTCAAAGCGTTGCTGGCGGAACGGTTGGAGACTTGTTCACGCGTGATACACTGCAGTTTCCCATGATGATTTATACTGCCACGCCATTTGCGGGCCCGGTATTGGGACCACTTATTGGAGGATTCATAAACTCATTTACGTCGTGGTGAGTTCTACATTGAGCCATGGGATTCCTGTTTTGGGTACCTACTGACACTGTACTAGGCGGTGGTCGTTTTATATACTCATCATCTGGGCCGGCGTCTTGTGGTTACTTACTGTTTTCTTCATGAGGGAAACGTACCCACCGGCTATCAGGCGAAAGCACAGCCTGTCAACTCCTATCAACTCCTCGGATGAATTAAAGGTCGCCAGCCCTGCCAAAGAGCCGTTCCAGCTACTACTGGCAAAGTCAATGTACCGGCCGTTCCTGATGCTAGCCTATGAACCGATGTGTCTCTGCTTATGCATCTATACGGCTATTTTGATTGGAACGTTGTACCTCTTTTTCGGTGCATTTCCCCTGGTGTTTTCGCATGTATATGGCTTTAACCTATGGTAAGTGGGGTTGACTTTTGTTGGCTAACTTGTCGGGACTCTGATAGGAGCCTTACTGGATCCATTGTGGAAATGGAATCTCAGAAGATTAATAAAGAATCACAACGCCAGCAATGGCCAAGAATTCTTGCCCGAGTTCAGACTCCCGTCAGCAATCCTGGGCGCGCCGCTGATTACCATAGGGTTGTTTTGGTTCGCATGGACTACTGTTTCAGAGGTACCTACCCATCGTCATCTCAAATTGCTTTGTCGTCTCACTGATAATATCTAAATCTTCTACTTGTGAATAGGTCCATTGGATAGTGCCTATTATAGGAAGCTCTTTTTTTGGCCTCGGGTATGAACCCACACAGCGGGCGTTAAGACCCTTGATGCTAATATCGCTGAGCAATTTAGAGTCTTTCTTGTATTTCAAGGAGTGATTACCTTCCTTGTCGACGCGTATCCCTTATATGCTGCCAGTGCGTTGGCAGCGAACGCCTTTTTACGAAGCAGTTTTGCAGCTGCATTTCCACTCTTCGGTGTACAGAGTAAGCTTACCAATGCCAAAAAGGGAACGGACACTAATTGGTACGAATAGTGTACGAACATATCGGATACCATTGGGCAACATCATTGATTGCTTTTTTAACCGTAGCTATGCTACCATTCCCGTGAGTGAGTGGGATATTACTAATTCACAATGGCTAACCCATGTTAGATATATATTTTTCCGGTTTGGCCCTCGTATTCGGAGGAGAAGTCGATTTGCGTCCTGGACACCATTAAACTGAAAGTGTAATATTATGGACCGCACCTAGTGCAACTATTGAGGTATCTGTGTTAGGATATATAAAGAACAAGCGTGTTCGTTTAGTGGTTGGTCAGCAAGAAGTGGAATTTAGCCTAAGCCAGAAAGTTGAATTTACATTCTTTAGTAGATAAGCCTTTTTAAGTGGATAGATAGAAAATTAAGTCCGATCGTGTATGGACCATTACCTGCAGACTTGGGCCGTCAGCTCCCTCTCAATATTATTCACTATATACTATCCGTTACCTACTATAGGCTGCAATCATAAATATAACAGCCATGGGCAAATCAGACTTCGATCCCCTGTGTATTTTCTTCGAATCAGGGATTAAATAGCAACTATGAATGTTCAACAACAATAATAGTCATCTATTTTCCCTCATATGTAACTTATTAACCCCTATAAGGTATGTACTCACTTGGGATTTCTATAACTGGTGTATCCAGAATCTGCCTATTTTATGGCTATACAACATCCAGGAGGCTTGCATTATGTGGCTGATGGGTGGCCTAGAGCAACCTATAGCTATAAAAAGGGGTGTTACTTTTGAGAAAATAAACTTCTTTTTAGCGCTTTACCTGTGTTTCACCATATAGCATGAGACATAAAAACGCCCAGAAATGACTCACTCGATGTTATACGTACACAAAAGTCCTATTTTAAATTTCAGCGATTATATTTGAGCTAGTATAACCGTCAGCCCAAACTCATATGAAAGATATACAGGGAACAGCGTCTTATACCAATCCTTCCATACCCTTTTCTATTGATAATACCGAGTAGAAACATCTTAGCATAACTAAGTGCTTAGAAGTATAGTAACACCGCCAGCAATAGCACCAATATCTATTGTCGTTGCCGAGGAGTGCCACAGGCATTCTCGGCCAGAGACATGGTTGGAGAAGAACGAGACTAATCGCGCGTGTTCGGGGGGCTAAAATAGATGAGAAAGCGTTACGCGAATGCATCGGCATGATTAAATAGCTAACACAAAGTCGAGACGCGCATCAAGAAAACATTTCGCAGGAGGCGCGTTTTGAAAAAAAAAAAAAAGCAATGTTAGCCAGATAGTCCAGGGCCAACGCAAACCTGGTGCTGGGGTGCATTGGCGAGTCATCGGCCTACCCTATATTGTTTTCAACTCGGCAAATATCCAAATAAATCAGGTGCTTTGATTTGAGTTGATTGAAGTAAATTTTCTACCTATTTGATTTAATTGATTTGCAAAAACCCCAATTTAATTTGAACATTTTTTGAAAACGATTTATTTATTTGCAAGCCTGAACTCTTAACACAACTTGCACCTTCGGTGCTGCCATACTTGATCTCATAGGATCTCAAAGCCGTGTAATATAACAGCTGCTACTATACCCAGGGTCCGTTATATTATACTAGCATACGCACTTGTCCGTATGCTAATCGGTGTATGTGTATTTTCCGTCCAGCGGCCATGGGCCGCTCAGGCCCTAGTAATCAAAGTCACTTGTCCCAGGGGGTAACCTGGCTTTGGTCGTGTTGATACTCCACTACCACCACTGCTGCTTATTACTGACCCACCTGGACTTAACCTAGCTGTGCTTAATTATCTATATAAAAGGGTTATTAATATTAAACTATACCCTTTACTCCTTATATATATATAGTTTTTTTTTACAGTAATCAAGTTATACTATAACTATATATGGAATACTAGGATAGGGTTAACTATTTTCTTAAATAGCCTGTCTTACTCTCCTAAATCTCAACAGCGTTATATTCTTAGTCTCACAAACCATCAGCGTCGTTTTTATAATTAACATCCCGAATTGGCCAGCCGCCGATTGCAGACATCCTCGAGACCGGAGTTCCCTCCCCACCCTAAACTGTATGTGCAAAAGCATACAATAGATCAGTGCCGTTTAAGAAGGCCCCGCTTGTCCACAGTTTGCCATCCCTGGCCCATCTTTTCTCAACCTAATTAATACTTTGCGACTGTCGGCGGAGTGTATTTATTATGAAACGTGGGGCAGTTGCTGTTTTCCCCCCTAATATACCGGCTTGGACTGCAACCTTAACACCAGCACAGATTGTAAGAAAGGCAGAGCAGTTATTCCAAGCCTTTCGTACAAAGGCCAACTCGGCATCATTTGGGGTGTAACCAACATTATGCGCGCTAATGAGAACTACATCTAATGGCGGACAAGTCTCGAAGGAGTGCTAGTTTGTGTAAGCCACAGGTATGCAAGGAAAATTAGCGACAGACTCTGAACTCACTGTTGGAACTAGAGATATGGCACTAGTCAGGCGGCTTTGCTTTGCGCTGCCTACCTCAGACACCCAATGAAAATTGAGATCAAGTGCCTGAGCTTTAACATCCTCTGAAACCCACTCTTCTGGCAAGGTTTCAATGAACTTCTTGCTGAAACAATGAAGCATATCTACTGGCGCAACATCAAGAATTTCTGTCTCGCTATATTTTTATTAGTGGCGAATACAATTTATAAACACGAGAAATGCAAACCCATTCATCAGTATAACGCCGACTTCGATTGGCCTGTCTGGCTTCGCAAGATTAAAGACGGACATTTTGTAACAAAATCGGAGGGGAAATGTTAGTTCCTAATCATGAAAGACTTTTCGTATCTCGTTTTACGAAGCTCGCTTGAGTCTGGAAATGTTTCTGAATTTTATACACTGCTCGCCACGATGTTACTAAACGTACATCCGAGACTGCTCGGCAAACAGGTTGTCAGCAAGCTCTCTGGAACTAGTGTGGTTAGGCCAATCATATAATAAAGATTGGGTGTGTATCGAGATTGCATTGTGATCGTCGCAACATCCCAACAAGCTGTGTTCTGCTTATGAATTGCATCCGAGTTATTTCGGAGGTAAATGATTTCATATTGCCAGAGTGTCGTATTCCATCACCAACATAGCCCAAAGAGGGGGGTGGGAAGTAGTCGAAAATGGTCCCTTCTAATGCCCCGCGTGCGATGCTTGCTATGATGGTTGGACACTAAGCTCTAATTTGGGAATCTCTTTGCGAGCTGGCCACTCACAGTCCTTGTCTGCCGGAACTTTTTAGACGGCTGTCCTCTCTGCCCCGCACGTCACCTGGCGGGATGATTTACATAGATGACAAAGCCTTCAATGGTGTCTCTCTTTGTCCGAATGTTGTGGATCAACGCACTGCGGAGTGTACAGTGCCTGTCACGTTGTGAGAGTTATAATCAGCTAAGTGTATTAAAACACTAGTGAAATTCGACATATACCGGTACTGTTCGTTGCTCTTTGTTGCAGGTCTTTTTCTGCAGTTCTTCAGTAACAAAACTTCCCTTCGTCCGAAGCATATAATTACTTTTTCCGGCTAGCTTCATCTCCAATAGAGGCGTACTTATCCGACATTACCAGACTCGCGCTAGAAAGCTCTCCGGGATTAAGCGCTTGCCACACCGTCAACTTTATTGTGAATTGTGGGATGACATTGTTTTTGCACGTAGTGGAAAGTTGGATTCAACGTTTGACTACGTCGATGAGTGCGCACGCAATCTTCCCTTCTCCATGAGTAGGTAGTGCCTAGCACAATGCTTCTCGCGATGGTACGCATCAAACGGACGCTTTGGCTTTGACATGATAGTCATACAGCTCTGATTACTACTATGAAGCCTACCGGACGATCTTCGGTTTGAGAGCAGGCAATACTTTACATTAAATGTACATGAGGATTTTGATCCAATAGTGGACGGAAGCAACAATTGATAAGAGTTTCCACTCACACAACATCCCGCGCGCCTTGACCCATTTGAGGAGTCCGTCCTAATCCAATATGTTTCGCCGAAGCTAACACCTGACAAATTAATGACTATATAATACGAAATTTACCCTTTCATCTGTTTCAGGTTCAATTCCCTCCCATCACAGGCCCTTTCTGTACAAGTCGCAATAGAGAATTAGTTCGTGGCCATGAAAAGCCAAGTCTTCGTCCTTGGCCCAGGCTATGTTGGACGTGCGATTATTGATCTCCTCCATTCAGAGGGCAAGTACGAAATAACGACTCTTGTGCGGACAGAAAAAGCTTTGAAAGACCTCAGTGATGACGGTAAGAAGACATAGTCACAGGAATAACGCAACACAGCCGTTTCCTGCTAATAGAGTTTCAGGCGCGAATACAGTGTTGGGTAGTTTGGATGATACAAATCTCATCGAGCAACTAGCTGCACAGAGTGATGTGGTGTTCCATACAGCAACTTCAGATCACTTGGCGTCTGCTCAGGCGATTTTACGTGGGATTGCGAAGCGAGCGAGTCAAGGTATGCACACGAGCACCTCTGGCATTACTGGCAAGCACCAATGCTAAACGGTTCGGTGCTGTTAGGAAAACACACCATCTACCTTCACCAAAGTGGCGCTAGCTGTCTGAGCGATCAGTCCGCTGGAAACAACCCGAACAATGAAGTGTACTCGGATAGCACCACGGCGCAAATTGATACTCTTTCTCCCACGGCACCCCACAGAAAAATTGATCTAGGTATGCAGAAATGCCTACAGAGAAATCTGATTTCTTTCAAATCCTGTAATCTTATGGCAACTAACGCTCCTTTTAGCCATTGTGGAAGAGCGACAAAAGCTTGGTAGTCTGGCTAGAATCTTCATTTGGATGCCCCCAATTATTTATGGTAATAACGGTAAACATAAACGTATTTCCATTCAGGTAAGTTGAATGCCCCTAAAGCTGACTTCTATATTTACAACGGAACTTGCAGATTCCAGCTTTAACCCGATTTGCCTTAAAAAATGGACACGCCGGCTACGTCGGCACTGGGAAGAACGCTTGGAGTTTCATCCACGTCCTTGATCTCGCAAAAGTAGCCTGTTCCACAATTTCCGCTGAGGTCTGCCAAAGGCTAGCCATATGCTAATATCGCACCAATAGGCGTACACCCAAGTCCTTCATTGGCTTGAAACTGCCCCTAGATCTGACCTTGGTCTTCAGAATCCATACTTTTTCTGCGAAAGCGGCGAAATATCGTGGGCCGATGTTGCCTCCATGATTGGAAAGAACCTCTACCGTGCCGGTCGAATTGTCAGCCCAGAGCCACACGTTATATCAGATTCAGAGTATGTTGACTTATTTGGCAAGTATACCCCAGACATAGTGGGATGTAACTCTAGAAGTAGCGCCGACAGGTTGAGGCTAATGGGCTGGAAACCCGAGCAACCTGATGTGCAGGAAGCATTCGAGAAAGAAGACTTGCCTCTTATACTGTTGGAGAGTGGAAAGTTCGAGCCTCCTAACATTACCCTTTCGTAACCCGTATTTCGTACGAAATTAGCGCCAGCTGACATTTAACTACAACTCTTAGAGTAGTCTATTGCACTTTCGAAATCTCAACCTTCTGCTGACCGTAACTTCCATTTCTATATAAAATAACCCTTTAATATATATAAATCTTTAATTATACATATATATTTATATTTATTAAAAATAAAAAAGAGAAAGTTGAGGAATTTTTTTTATTTATATTTTCTTAAGAAATTCAGTAGTATATAGTGTATTATATATTATTATGACTTAACCTCATACGTGACGAACCGTGTTCCTATATGTCAGTATAGAGGTAGGATTCCCAAGGGACAAACCTTATAAGTTAGGGTAACTTAGGTTTATGTTGGCGGATAGGTCAGGCTGGATATTCGGGCAATATAAAGAGTCACGCAACTAGTAGAGAGTATCAAGTAGATTCAATCCGAACGTGGTATTCACAACTGGCTATCTAAGCTGTCTGAATGAGTGTGATGAATCGAACTTATATATCCAGTTGGGCATCTGAGGTCGACGTCGGTCAGTGTCGACCTTCAACGGTCGACATGCTAATGTGTGACGAACCGGGTTCCTATAATCTAGGGTTAGCTTTCCAAAGGGCACAAACCTGGCTTGTACTTGGGTTTATGTTTGGCGGGCGATCAGGTCGGTCGACGAGCAATCTTATCACGCAGCTAGTAATAACAATGAGGAGGATCTCTGTATTCCAATGTGATTGTATTGAAAGTGCTGTGATAACAACTGGCTATCTAATCTATCTAACGAGTGTAGAGAACGTAAACTTATATATCCAGTTGACTTGGACTGGGTCGAGTTAAGTCGAGTCGATCGTGATCGACTTAATCGAGTTGAGTCGAGTCGACTGGACTCGACTTCATTTTCGCATCCGGCTACCAGGGGCAGCGTCGTTGTTACTGTCATTGCTTTTGAGTTAGACAATGCTCTCTGCGATGCAACATCAAGCGAGCTGCTTAAACGGTGACGAGGGGCGACGAAGGGTACATGTAGTTGCTAACAGTAGGATGATGAACGAGAACGAGCAATACACTAAACGCTTTATGGAGAGTCTGGTATTGTCTGTTCTGTAAGGCGGTTTCCATTTCCGCTTCGTCTAATTAGCGGATTCTCCTATGGCTTACAGATGCTACTGTAAGAACTCTATAACCGTATTATCTCCAGCTAAATTCAAAACTCAGAAATCACTAAGATAAGTCAGACCATAGATTAAGGGGCCACCCCCATTAAGTGGCCACCGCCATTTCCCTTTAACATTAATAATGTTAATTATTTATAAATATAATATTTTATATAATTATTAATTAACTTTAAATTTAATTTAAATTATTTTAATAATTATAATTAATCTTATTAAAAAAATATTTTATAATAAATAACATATAAAATAATATATTATAATAAAAAGCTATATATTACAAGCCAACACATATATGGCCGCAACGTCAGACCTACAGGGTAGACCACACGGATCATCCTCGGGCCGCGAAGCCAATCAGAGGTGTGTTCACTCTTGAAAAGTGAACACCAGTGAACGATCGCCCGATTAGGAAAATGTTTACTTCACAAAAGTAAACCAAAGTGAACATCTCATTATATATTCATTTCACAACGCTCGTTTAGAATAGTTTAGATAGCCAGTTGTGAATACAGAACAACGCTTGATTATACCTACAGAGTATCATCTACTAGTTGTGTGAACACCCTATCATTATTCCTTGTTAAATTGCCTGCCAGTCCAGCCTGGCCTATCCGCCAACATAAACCTAGTACAAGGTTTGTCCCTTGGGAATTCCTCTTATACTAACATATAGGAGCTCAGCTTATCACATATACTATATAAAAGAAAAACCTTCTATATATATACCTCCTTAATCTTTAGATTATCTTCTTCCGCTAATAGCCAAAGGGTAATAATCTTATTTCTTATATCCTGGTTTTTACCTCTAAGAGTAAAGCTTAACCTAACCTCTTGGAAGTAAGTAATATTCTTACTTATAAGCTTTAAAATTCTAATTAGTTTTTATCTAGCCCCAATAGCTAACAGCTTCCTCTATATATAATCTAGCGGGACCCAAATAAAAATACAATTATTAGGCTTTTTTTTAGGTTTATTATCTTTATTATTACATTTAGCAGTAGTTAGGGTTAACCCTTTACTATTAATAGTAGGATTCTTTAAGTTACTAGTACTATTTTATAGTATTTCGTTATAAGTTAAGCCCTATACTGCAACTTATACCTATATAACTTTAGGGGCCCTAAGGTCTACTTTTCAAGTAGCTATAAGTACTCCTATTATAGTAGGGGCTTTAGTATTATCCAATTATCTATTATAAAATACATTAGCTAATATTATTATAGTTAGTTAGGCAGCTTTTTTATTACTACCTGTATAACGTCCTAACCTAATACTTATAAAGTATAGGGTAAGTTCCTAAGGTAATAAGCTAAAGTTAGTTAATTTATATTAGCAAAAAGGATAGGAAGTAGCTTTAAGTAAATGTAATTATAAAGTAAGTAAAATATAATAAAGATTTAGTTTATATTTAATTTTAATACTTTATTAATAACTATTTATTTATATTATTTAAAAAGTATAAAAAATCAAATTTTATATATTTAATTATTTTAAATAGCTTACTTTTAGGATTATAAGCCTAAGTATAGGATTATTATTTTATAAATAATCTATCTAAAGTAGCTTATAATAAGCTTATTATTCTTATGTTAATTAGTTCTTTAGGTAAAGTATTTTTCTATAGTATATTCCTAATATACTTTATTTTTAGGTTAGGCTATAATATAATACCCCCTCTTTATTAGTTTTATCCTTAAGGTTAATTATATAGTAGTATTATAAGTATAGCTTAAGCCTTATAAGTTTATTTATCTATTTCTTCTTCTTTAATTATATTATTATAAGTGTAATAATCTTAAAGCTTATTTTTTATAAAGCCTGTAAGTAATTATTACTTACGTTATTTATTCTAACTAATAGATCTAAAGTAAATATACCTTATTTACATTATTTTCGTAAATTAATTACTTATTATATAATTAAAGATTTATTTTATTATTATAAGTATATTAAATAAGGTTATTTTTATAATAGAGTATTAATTACATTTTCTTATAGGTAATATATCCCTTTTATAATAAAATAATATTAATAAAACTTTCTTAGTAATAAAAGCACTAGATTAGTAAAAGAAATTAAAGGAGGAGGAAGAGAAGGTTAGGGAGGCCTGTTACAACCTAGCTCTTAAGGTTGCGACAATAGGCTAACAGGTTGGTCTAGACTAGATTAACTTTAATCCTTTAACTAATTAAGGAAGGATTAAGATATAACTTCTTAATTTAATAGTAGATTAATAAATTATTTATTAATTTAGGAAAGGATTAATATTTTATATATTAATTTAGTCTAGGTTAACTAGGTATATAAGTTTACTTTATATTACTTATTAAAATACTTAAATAGCTAGTTATTATTAATATATAGTAATTAGATTAAATATTTAGATATTTTATCTATAGTTAGTAATAAAATTACCTATTTACTAACTTAACTACTTTGCTAATATAAACTATAGAACTACTCTAAGGTTTATTTTTTAAAAATAGCTAACCTATATTAACCTATAGGACCTAGTTTATTATATAATAATAACTTTTATTTAAATAGTTACCTTAAACCTATAGGAAATAAAATACTAAAAACTTAGCAGCCTATAAGCTTTAGAGTTTTAAATAATAATACTAATTATAAAAGTAAAGCTTAAAGTAACTATAATAGTAATATTAAATTTAAAAATATACTAACTAAAAATATAGTTAATTAAGCTAATTATAATAAACTAAAGGCTAAGTTTAAAGCTTTTAAAATACAGCTTTAGGACTTTAAAAAAAAAAAAAAAAAAGGTAAAGTTTTTAAATTAATAAAGCCTAAACCTTTTAATAAAAAATTATATAAAATAAATAAATTTTTTTAAAATTTATAATTTATTTTAAATACTTTCCTTATACTTTAAAAAATAATAAAAATAAAGTTATTTTTATAAATAGCTACTTTATAAAAAATACTAAAATATAGTTTTAACCTATTATATAGAATTATAAAGAAGGAAAGATTAATTTAAAAAAGTTTAAAACGTAAATTAAACAAATTTATACTAAGTATATAAAATTTTAAAAATAATTTAAAAAGTCCTTTAGTATTATAAATAAATAATAAAAAGCTAAGTATAAACTTTATTTTATTACTTAAAAAAAATTACTAAGTAAGTATATTTTAACTTTCTTACGCTTATTAATTAAAGTTATATAACAAGCTGAGCTCCTATAGTGTTAGTATAAGAGGAATTCCTAAGGGATAAACCTTATACTAGGTTTATATTAGCGGATAGGTTAGGCTGGACTAGCGGGTAATTAATAAGGATAAAAGGGGTTTATTTATATAACTAGTAGATAATACTTTATAGGTATAATTAAGTATTATTTTATATTTATAACTGGCTATTTAAGCTATTTTAATAAGTAATATAAAGTAAACTTATATACTTAGTTAAATTCTAGGCTTATGCAGCTTATAAAATAAGCATAAAAAGCATAAGCTTACTAGGCTCATTAAATAAGTAAGATAAGCGGGATCTAATTAGCTATTTAGATTATAGTTAATCTAGTTACACTTAGTTAGTTAGCTTATTATTATAACTATAAGTATTAGGTTATAATATAATATCCCCCTTCCGTTAGTTTTATCCTTAAGACTTTACTTTTTATAGTATAAGTAACCTACTTCCCTTTTTATAAGTCCTTACCTAGTTTCCTTTATTTTTTATTTATTCTATATTTAATTATTATAATTATACTAACTAAATCTAAGGAGTATAAAACTAATAAGTAAGAGTAGTATAGTAATTTTTATTTATTAATATTATTTTACTTAATTAAAATAAATAAATATTTTATTTATAAATCCTTAGGTATAAAGTACTTTTTCTTAAAGAATAAATTT